CTCATTTTTCTATTAAGCTCCAGGAGCAGAAACGTGCTAAAACCATTATAAATATTGAAGAGGCGTTTGAAAAATGAAATGAGGTTAGAACCCAGAAAGGTTTCAAGACCGATGCAGGGCAGGAGCTTCAGTGCCCACCACATGGAAACCCCCCCACACACACACACACACACACACACACACAACGTATCAGAGTTACATGCTGCTCCTTTAATACATATTTTCTTTGATGTCTTATTTTTGCTCAATTTCTTGTCTTCTTATGTTTTGTTTTTTAACTTTGTAAAAATATTTGAATTGCTTTATGGATGAATAGTGCTCTACAAATGGTACCCTGCCCTAAACAATAAAGCACATCACTGTGTTTTGGCCTACCTTCTGTCTGAGTGAACACTGCCCCTCTCAGAGCGAGGGCTCCCTCTGTCAGAGCGAAGGCTCCCTCTGTCAGAGCGAGGGCTCCCTCTGTCAGAGCGAGGGCTCCCTCTGTCAGAGCGAAGGCTCCCTCTGTCAGAGCGAGGGCTCCCTCTGTCAGAGCGAGGGCTCCCTGCTCCAGACATCTCGCTGCCAGCTGGGCTTCCTCCATCGGACCTGTGGCCCCCTTCTTCCTCGTCCTCATCTCGATGGCCGCGCTCTGAGCCGCTGTGCTGCTCTACATCAGAGTGTTCATTCTCCGCCTGGTCTGAGTGCATGCTGGCGTCTGACTGGTTCCCCGACCGTTCAGACTGGTTGTCACTGCCGCTGTGTTGACTGTGCTGCTCGTCCTCACTGTCATCTCCAAACAGTTCCTGTTAGTTAGAAAGAGAGGAGTTAGCTGACTCTAACTCACCTTGTCACCTCAGCAAAGAGGAGTGAACATAATGTAACTCAGCAGTTCTAGCAGGGTGGCAGTGTCTTCATGGTGCCTGACATCAGTAAAGCAATAGGATTAAGAAGATGCTTGATAAAAATGCTGGATGCAATAAGAAATGGTTCAGGCAAAGTTTCACTGTTATTCCGTCTTCCACTACAGGACCTCCATCCACACTCAGTTTTCTTTTAGTATCAAACACAGCTACAAACCTTGTTCATACTGGGTTTTCCTCCCTCCTGGCCTTCTTCGTCGTCATCATCCCGTTCCCTCTCACTGTCACTGCCGCTGCCCGAGGCGTTGCTGGCAGATCGAGGTCTTTCCCGATCGGAGTCTGAACCGGATCCCGAGCCAGACTCTGAAACACAACAACACAGACTGTTTATATCGGCAACAAAACGAGTGTATAAAAATCAGTTCACGGCGAGGAAAGGCTGTTGCTAAATGAGTGCTCTCGCAAAATGTCTCATTGCCTTGTATTATAATAAAACGAGGTCGACACAACACAGCTCATTTTCTCATTACAGAATGGCTGAACATCAGAATTCAAAGACAGAAGGCCACAACATTTTCAGTAGATTACATCGCCTCTCTCGTGAACCCTTTTTTAACAACACTGTCTCCTCTTAAGTTGCCTAGTTGTGGCACCAAATGTTCTCCATAATGTAACGCTTCAATGTCGCATCAAAGATCACATTTGAGGGTTTGAACCGCATCATATATATACGCAGACTAAAATCTAAATAATGAGCAAATAAATAAAGTATTGTGGATAGTAACTGCACCACATCTGTCCTACGAGTACTAACTTGTAAATGCATGGTTCATGGTTTTATCAATTCATTACATTACGTCAAACGTCAGTGTAAGCTGTGAATATTTAAAACCTAATGTAATGAATTGATAAAACCATGAACCATGCATTTACAAGTTAGTACTCGTAGGACAGATGTGGTGCAGTTACTATCCACATTTTCCAAGAGACAATACTTTGTTTATTTGCTCATTATTTAGATTTTAGTCTGCGTATACAGCTTACACTGACGTTTGCAGAGCATAGAGAAAATTGTCTGCAGAAAAAAAATGTGATTTATTAATGCATTTTTTTTATGTTTACTGTTACGGCTCAGTGAAGAATTACATTTCAGTTTGACTCTTTATGCTTTTACGATTTTTCATAGATATTTAATTGTTTGCATTGAGTTGGTTTAATCACCAACAAGTTATATCACACTTGATATCTCCATCTGAATGTTTTCTCACACAATAAGTAAACTACTCAATACATTTAGTCTGTGGTTTAAACCACTTTTAAAGATTTAAACACCTGTAAACACAGGAGGAGCATCGTGTCCATGCCATTTCTCCTAGTTAGGAACTACAATTAATTTTAAAGGTAAAAGCTATCACATTTAGGAAATAACAAACGTGTCCATGTTTTTTGTAACGCAATGATGAACAAAACATCCTGACCAAACATTCACACTTGCAGACTAACACAGTTCAGTTCCGGTTGTTTTAAATCGCTCACTGCTGCTTAGCATTTTAAAAAAAACAAAAAAACACTTTAATTAGTCCGCTCACTTAATTTAAAATCAAGTCTTTCAAAACCTGAGATGAAACATTACCTCGCTGTTCATTGTCGCTGTCTCCATCGCTCCCGAACAATTCGTCCATGTCCGCCATTTCTTCTAAACTGCTGAAGAAAAAAAAAAAAAAATGTGAGCAACCGGAAGTGATGTTTGAGGAAATGATTTGTTTCCGAGTTCAACCTGAGACCGGACATGACGATGACGTAACCGACCACAGGGCGGCGGTGTACACAACGGATTACTCCACCATACAGCGTCAACCTGAAATATTGTCTACTTTAAATAAAATGCTAAAATAAAATAAAATAAAATAAAATAAAATAAAATAAAATAAAATATAATATAATATAATATAATATAATATAATATAATATAATATAATATAATATAATATAATATAAATGCTAAAATAATATAAAATAATGCTAAAAATGAATATTTAATGAATATTATTTAATATTATACAAAAGTGTTATTTGATATATTTTGAAATCAAAATAAATAAAATAATACTGTAGTAATAGTTTTTGAATCCCTGGTGATTCTAGTTTAAAATATGTTAAATAAGTTATGTAAGAATCATCTTTCTAGTCATGGTTTGAATAAAAAGTGTATTTTATTCTACTATATTTTTTGCAACCATTTGAATGATTTTCAGTCAGACACTATTTTTTAATGATTCAGGCTTATCTATCTATATTGACATTGGTCTCTCAATGATGTTATCAGTGATTTATAAACTACGTCAATAGCTTTTCTGCACTCTTGTTAAGCACTTTGAACTGCAATTTAATTTGTCTGAAAGGTGCTATATAAATAAAGTTTGATTGATTGATTGATTGATATGATACAGCTTTGTGTTAGTAGCTGCAGTGTATTGTAAATTTGGAGACTATAAATGTTTATTTTAGCTGCTGTAGAAAAAGGTTCAGAGCTGTGCTTCACTTTTTCAACATGGTTTAGCATCAGCACAGTCTGGTGTTTGAGTTATCTTATTTAGAAAGATTAAGTGTAATTTGCTATATTTAAAAAAGTCTTTATTAGTCAAACCATATTCCATCCAGGTAATCTGTTGCTGCACAGCCTCCTAAATCATCTTCCATCCATTAATCCAACCTGCATACCCATGAAGCCAGCATGGCAACATCAATATCACAGCTAAACCATGTGATTGCTAAAGTGTTCTGTCAGCCTCAAATCTGTCTTTACCATCAACCAACATGTATTGATATAGCCGATGTATCTATTGAGAATAAACTAGTCTTTCTTTGAGTACATATTACTTGCTGTTTACATTACTTGCTGCTATTTATTTATCATACCAAGTCACCTTAATCATCACTTGTCACTTTAACTTGTCATTCTCTTCATATACTGTTTCAATTCTCAATTCCCCCCAGTTAACTTCATCATTCATTTTGTTCTTGTATATACCCCCTGTTTTTATTTTTATTTTATTTATCTTATCTATTCTGTTTAATGTGTATTTGAGCTTTCTTGTCTGTGCTGCTGTAACGCCCGAATTTCCCCTCTGGGGATCAATAAAGTACTATCCTATCCTATCCTATCCTATCCTATATCAGCAAAAGGCTACTCCTAGTTTTTAAGCACCAGTGTCTCATGTAAGAGTTTCTGTGTTACATTTGATAGCATCTTATTACGTTGCACATTTTGTGTGAGCCAGAGGGTGCATGAAATTCAATATCTCTGCTGTTGTGCAATGCCATGTTGCGAAAAAGCTCTCCTTTATCCACACAATGAAGTGGAAGACAAGGTTCTTATTGTACACAGTGTGTGTTTCGGGTGTGTTACTGGGTGTATTTGTGTGAAAGAGGGAGGTTAGGACAAAAAGAGTGAGATTGACGTTGCTTTGATCAGGTAAAAATTAGTTGTGCAGCTTGCAACAGAAGACAAAACAATCTGTATTCGTGAAAAGTTCATTTTGTGTATAAGTGTGATTTATCTTCCCAGCTCTAACACTCAGCTTGACCCTATTTGACCTGAATTATCCCTATTTTCTAAACATTATCTGTTGCTTTCTTCTGATTAAAATAGACCTATAAATAATAATAATAATTTCGTTGTACAATTGTATAATGATAATAAAGACATTCCATTCTATTCTATAAATATCTGTAAAGGTTTGATTGAGTTTGCACCCATTACAGCCAATATTTATGTAGTTAATAGCTTGGCAAAATTAGAATTAATTAAATTCAAGGTCCATTTACAATCTTTTTTAAACAGTTTGCTCAGTTATCATGTTGATTTAATTCAAAGTGAGTACTTCGTATGCAATTATGCATGTCTAATAATCGCAGGAATTTGTACAGTGATACATTTGTTTTTATTTGCTTTTTTTTTTTTTTAATACGTCTTTAATACGCTTTACAGGTGGCCAGAACATTATTTTTTTAAATTTTATTTATTTTATTTTCCCGACTTTCACCTGATTGGTTCCTCTGGAGAAAAGGGGCGGGTTAACTTACCCATTGGTTCACTCATACAAAGAACTCTTTCCATTGGTTTGTGTAGACGTCACTCAGAAAATGCTCGCACTCTCTTCTTCCTGTGTTACCGCCCTTGGGCTGAGAGCGAAATCAAGCAGTGAAGACATCGCATTCATTGGAAGACTGGGAACATTTGGAGGTACCTTAGTTAGGAGCCTTTAAAGTATCAGGTAAGGAAACAAATAACTCTGGTGTTTTAGATGAAGTACGCGTGTTATTTCAACGTAATAATCGTCATTGTGTGAAGCCAGACGGCTAGCAACTTGTCTCAACTACAAGGGTTAGCGCGTTAGCTGCTACATGTCATCGGGCTATTCCCCCCACGGTGTTGCTGCATCCTGCAAGTGTAGCTGTGTTACAAAATGTCACTTAAAGCGCTTTGTTCGACTTTAACTAACTCCTTGCTGTTGCGTGGTACTTTCCCCTTGATGATAATCACCTTCAACATGTTTACTGTCAGCGTGGTGATCATAAACATATCAAGAGCGAGTTAGCTGACGTCATGAGTAGGTTGCGGTGTCCACAGGAGATTGATGAAACTATTTCAGTCAGGTAACCCCCCCCCCCCAAATGAACATAAAGTGCTTAATGTTTTACAGATTATTGTCGTGATATATGTCGTTTAATTGACGTACTAAGTGTCCTTTAATGATTCTGGTATCAGCTCACAGGTTCTTGGTTTTAAAGTGTCGCAATCTCAGCTGCCCATCCCTTTCAGCGAGACAATACATTTCACAGATAGAGCATCAGTAGCCGTCAGTGTTGTTGTGTGTTAGACGAAGACAAGGGTTTTGGTGTTTGTGAGGGACATGACTTTTGGAGGTGTGACTCACACCAGTGTGGAGGTCTCATGGGAGAAAGGGAGGCTGTGGACTACATTTTAGTTCAGGCGCAAGGTCACTGATACTGACACATTCCTTGTTTGAGAGCTCATGTGGGTGTTTAAAAGAGGTAGTTTGACCAGCAGATCTCAATGGTGAATGATGGGTGTGGTCGCAGTCTTAAGGAGGACGTCTGCATAGAGGGAAGTTTGTTTCCCCCCCGCCGCCCTCCTTCTTTTAAGCCTGAAGGCAGGTATCCCTCATGAAGCTGTGGTGCAGGTATTGTAGAGAAATCTGATGGTGACTACTGACAAGGCATTGTTAGTGATACTACTAACTGCCTTGCAGATAAACAGGCTCATCAAATAGCGTTTGTGTAACCTTAATACATTTCCCTAGAGAGTGAAACCTGTCATTGAGTGCCTAGTTTCACCTTCTTTGTAATGCAGCCACACAACTAGTGGCTTAGCAGTAAATGTAACACAGGTGTGAAAGGTGTCAGCCTCTCCTTAGCCGGTTATTATTCACATCACAGCCCTCTGCGAGTCCTCGCTGAGCGGAAATGCAGGGCACTCATTTGAAAACTGTTCTCATTATATAATAATGGAGAGTGTGTGTCTGAAGTGTGCTGCTTGAACAGGGGAGTATACAAATCATGATGTGTGTTGGTTGGAGAAACACCCCACTTCCTGCTTGGTACCCTCGCCAAGTTTGTCCAAAAGTTGGCAGGACAGACATTTGAGAGTGAATATGTTGATTGTGTTTTTTTTTTTTCAATTCATTGACTGTCAAACAGGGAAATATCATTTTTGTTTTAGATTTTAAAGCCAAGCCTGTTATTCAGTCATCTATACCATCATCACTATTGAAACATGTTGAATTGTTCTTTTCCCCAACCCCCAGCATTATGTAATGCTGTTAACAGCAGGATCATACCCTCTGTTGCCATCTCTGTCTTCTTCCATCTGTTTTCTATCATTTCTGACACTCTCGGGCAACACGTGAGACTGGACTCAACAAGGAGAAAGGAGAACAACAGGGTGGAGAGAATAAAACGAGGAGGGGAATAGGTAGGTGGGTGGAGGAAGTGCAGACTCCTGTCCCATGGGTAGCAGAGCTGGGTCATTCTAACTATAGTCTGTTTTGTGGGCGGTGTTCTGAAATAATATAATAACCACTGAGTGCTTCATGTTCACGTCTCAGCTGCAAGTTACTATTCCTCCTACTCATGCCTCAGATATGTTTTAGTAGAAATGGAAGAGTGGATTGTAATATCTGGGCCTTATGGATTATAAATGTTATTTATGGATTTATGGATTTGGCTTTATGGATTATAAATTTGTGCATGCACATTGCTTTTTGAAAGAATGTTGGTGCTTAATGACCGACTGCAACATGTTCAGACATTTCTCTTAAAACATGTTCAGCCTTTGTGCAGGTAGCGTTGATAAGAAAAATAAATGTAACTTCTTTTATTACTCAGTTATTAAACTCAGTGTCTGAAGTCTGCCCTCGACAGAAACATATTCTCGACACTTCCTTTGACGTCTTTCTTGTGACCCACTATCAAATTGTTTCCTCAGTCAACCAGATGCAGCATACAAATAGTTGTTGTTGTTATGCGCCACCTCAAAAATATAGTTTTGTCTTTTATGCAAACATACAGTTGATAGTTTTCTTTAATTCAAGATCAGTTTAAATTTGAAAAGTCGTCATAAACACGGGCTTAAACCGACCACGTTTTTTTTTTAAATCACTTGCACCTTCAGACTGGGAAATGGATAATAAAAAATGAAAACTAGACATCCAGCCTGTCAAGTTAGTGAACCTAAATCGAGATAGTTGTGGCTGCGTCCTGGTGCAATCCTCAGTAATATGTTTATGTGACGGAGTGCAGCACAGTGGCCTGGGGTTACTGGTCAGTGTGGGAGGGCTTAAGGTGAGTGTAGTGCAGACATGTTTGAAGTATTATTGGCTCTGAGCCATATGTTGTGTTGAAGGATTAGCAGAGGGGAGAGGGAGAAAGGAATCAATCAGATTGGACTAATGGATCCTCTCAGTGTCTCTGCCTGGGCTTGAACCCACCCATTACCATCATTATCCCTGTCTGCATGCTCCATTTCTCTTCAGTCCGCACGTATGCTAAAGATCTGGGCCTCACTGTCTACAGCGGCTGTAGCTTTAAATGTGTTGACTTACACATATATATATATATATATGTGTCAATGAAGTGGAAAGTGTTTTTTAAAGAGTAGGATAATATGTTAACTGGTGTTAGATTGAGCTGACCTTGCCATAAGAGCATTATGTGTGTGTGTGTGTGTGTGTGTGTGTGTGTGTGTGTGTGTGTGTGTGTGTGTGTGTGTGTGTGTGTGTGTGTGTGTGTGTGTGTGTGTGTGTGTGTGTGTGTGTGTGTGTGTGTGTGTGTGTGTGTGTGTGTGTGGTGTGTGTGTGTGTGTGTGTGTGTGTGTGTGTGTGTGTGTGTGTGTGTGTGTGTGTGTGTGTGTGTGTGTGTGTGTGTGTGTGTGTGGTGTGTGTGTGTGTGTGTGTGTGTGTGTGTGTGTGTGTGTGTGTGTGTGTGTGTGTGTGTGTGTGTGTGTGTGTGTGTGTGTGTGTGTGTGTGTGTGTGTGCGCACAGCCTGCATGTGGCTTAATGCTTAATGCTTATCCCAGTCCAGGGTTTCTGCTTTTTCCAGATCTTAGACAGAAATGTAATCCCAGCATTTTGCCTTCTTAAAATCTTGGAATTAGTCCGGGTAACTTAAACCAAATGATGACCACCAAGACATAAATCAAACATCATTTGATGCAAGACTAATCTTTCCACATGCTCTCACTGCCTAGAAAAGATCTCACTGCTGTAGAATTAAAAAAGAGTTGGGCCTGGACATGAGGGATTACGGCAAAAAACATCAAAGTCTTCATTTTCTAAAATGCCTCTAGACTTAAAAAAATCCTGGCACGCTGAAGCCGGGGGATACAGGCCTAATTACACTTTACAGCCTCCATATGTTTTTGGTGTGTCCCTCCTTACTGTCGATGATGAAATATGAACAAAACTCCCTCTTACGTAAAGAAAGCAAGAAAATATCTGTAATGACACCATGAGAGACAAATCCTGATGCTTTCCCATGATCACTGCACAAAAGATTGTTGTTGTGGATGTAGAACTATTTTCATATGATTTGAATTAATGTGGTATTTCTAATATGGCAGATATGACGTTGAAGCTAAGGTCGATTCTCTAGTTTAGTCCTGTGTTTATGCTGCCTCACAAAAGCTTTAACCTGCAAGTCAGTTGAAGTATTTTCTTATATACCAGTAAGTATATTTCCTGCATTTCCTATTAAACAATGGTTTTACTTAATTAAGCCAGAGCAATACATGTGTCAGATTATATTAATGCCAGATTTTGGCTTATCAAAGATATCAGCAGTTATATTTTCTGATGTGCACGGTGCACCTACTCCAACCTGTCCTTAAAGGTGCCGTCATGCATTATGTGCAGCTCTGAGTTAGCTCTGACTCTTTGTTTACAATATTCTGAACACTGCCTGCAGCTCATGCAGCAGAGCCTCAGAGTAAAATGTTCTTTTCTAAAGGTAATGTTTTCAGTAGAAGCCTCCCGAGCAGCTTTGCATACTTGCATAAATTGGTGCACAATCCACGTGAAACCTTAAGAATGTACAGAATCGGCCACTTCAGTGATAGTTTAATTTTACCTCTCTGAAAGTGTCTCCTTTTTTTCATATCCTTGAGGCTCCATTATTTAGTGTTAACATTATTCTGTTCTTATTGGCCGGATCTAAATGTCCACTTCATATTGTTTCCTACTGTACTTCTTCAGCACGTCTTGAATGACGTATCTCCTTCCTCTCAGTTAGCTGTGATAAAATCAACAGTAGCAGTGTACTACACCTCTATTTAACATCTCTGTTTTACAGGATCTGATTGAACTACTGTACAGCAGAAAATGTGGCCCAGTGTTATTGTTGATCATTATTTTCATATGCTTGGTTTGATCACCCTCATCAGTGCTGACATTTGGGCTCCAGCTTCATCTGCTGGCACTCAGGCTTGTGAAGTGCCCCTTCTATGACTCTCATAATCATTTCACAAATAAATAATGTAGAGTTGTAGTGGTGTGATGATAGAGGCGATGAGGAGGAGAGTCAGTTCGGGACTGAGGCAGGCTCAGGCTGTACGGTGAAGACGATGAACAGAACATGAAGACAGACCCCAGACTCTTAAGGGAATTTCTCTGAGCGGAAGAAATCACTCAGGCAGTTCCGAGGAAATGGCACTAAATGTTTAAAGAATCCTTTCCTGAAGTGCAGATCTGAAGAACGGGGAGTTTTCCCCCACTTTCACTGAATTTGGAGACATTTGAAATGAAACAGTGAGACGTATGGGATATTATTCTAAGTACTTGTGTGCCTCGTCTGTATTTACACAAACAAACACAGTTTTGTCTTTCCTGCTTATTTTGCCTATAGCGTGACCAAGCCATTAGGGACAGAAACGTTTCAATGTGTGTAGAGTTAAGTTTGTGTGTGAGTGTCTGTATGTGTGAGAGTAATTAGGACTAAAACCATCTGTGGAGTCCTGCAGGGAGTCTGGAAATCATGAGGTCATTTAGGTTTTGGACTGTGGCGTGGGAGAGGGAACTAAAGGCAGCGTAGAGCCTCTTCATTTAGTTTGACAGGATCCACCCACTCCTTAACTCATTCACTTATCTGAGCTTTATTTGATCTGGACTGTTGGGTTATTTGCTTGTACAAGTATTTAAAGTGTTTTCTCAAGTATTTCTAGCCCCTGTTCCAGTTTGCTTTGTTTTCAGGTGATAATTTTGAAAAGTGAAAGCATACATGAGTTTTTAATAACATTTAAATATAAGCTTCTTTTGTTCCAGTTTAACATCGTTGATTGTTTGCTCTAGTAAACCAAGCTTTGAGTTCTCCATGAGTTGTTATTGGTCCTCAAAGGAGTGGTCGGTTGATTTGATCAGGCCTGAGAAAGTCCCTTTTGTTCCAGCTGTGTGTTTGTGTTGCATCACCGCAAGGCCTTCTCATCCAATCGAGCTGTGACGGACTATTGTTTCACAGAGATGAGAGAAACAATGTCAAGCTCAGTTTAGATTAGGTCTCAGGGAATTGAAAGCCCCATCACCATTCATGTTTCTTGTTTGCCCTTGTCTGTCTTCAGGTAGCCTCTTCCTGATCTGGAGCAGTGAGCCTGAGAAGACAAACCGTGGCTGTGGTCTGCTGTCCAGTGTTCTGCGTAGCAAGCTTTAGCCGGCACCATGGCGTTGTCGTTCAAGAAGGATCTGGACAAGTACAAGGATCTTGACGAAGATGAAATCCTCAACAAACTGTCGGCGGAGGAGCTTAAACAGCTGGAGACGGCCCTCGAGGAGATGGACCCTGAGGTCAGGATGTGGTCAAAGATTGAGAAGCTCCAGGGCTTTCAAGAGGAAGGGAGAGGGAGTGTCTGTAGCAGAGGGAGTTAGTGGGCGGAAAAACTATTAAAAAATACAACAAACGTCATGCATGTTATGGCCATAAGAAGACTCATAAATCTCTTGCAGTTTTAAGTATTTTTCTCAAATAACTGGAGGAGCTATGGTCCTAGAAATACACAAAACAGAAATGCCCCCATATCCAACCAGCCTCACCTTGTTAATGCCACTTTTCTTTCCTGGAATGCATTGAACTTCACAAATCGGGTACATTTTTCCTTTGCACCCTCCAACAACACCTCCCAGTCCCCAGCCTCCATGGTTTGGTAAATGATTTAAGTGAGGGACTGAGGGAGTCTGAGCTGCAGTAACTGTCAGCAGGCTGCCAAGTGTTTGTGTGTTTATTTGTGAAAAAAAGCTTTAGAGTATAATGAAACCCTCAGCAGGCGCCTGGGCGTTGAATTTAAATTCCAGCAAAACCAAGTGAAACAAATAACCCAGCATTGTGACCCACAGGAACATGGCCCCCAAGGAAACAGTCAGCAGCAATGGAAAAATATTAAATTCTCAATTTCATTCGATTAAACTTGCAAAGTAAAGTTTGTCAAGTTTACATTAAAAATGACTGCATTTAGTTTCATTGGCTGCTAGCTAGACAAAGTTTACTCACATCCTCTTCACCTCCCTGAGGTTTGCATCTTTATGTCAAGTTTTGTTCACGAGAAGCTTAAGGTTGACTTGCATCAAGTCAAACTGCTTATATGTTTGTTAACGTCCTGTTAAGTAAACTTGTAACTCGGGTCTATTTGCTTGTTGGACACTCAAACTCGTTAATCTGACGCGATAGCAGTTACAGCACAGACCTTAAGAATGAAAGAAGAAACTGTCCTTTGTGTGTGCAGTTCTGTATTTGACAAAAAGTTTAAAAAAAAATTAATCTCAGAACTCAAAACATCTTCCGAAAGGAATATGATGCTATTCTGATGTCATAGTGCATACCACCTCTAACAAGTGCTGACAACACAAAGTGATGTGGAGCTAGAATGGCCAGCAGAGCTTCAAAACTTTTTGCAGGCATGACGATCATAAATGTTAAAGTAGTCCTTTGAATAGATATGGCATAGTGATGTGTTTACAGCTTT